GAATAAACTCACCTAAATTAATTTTCAATTATTCTCCTTTAATTCTTTTCCAACTTATACAAATACAAAACAAAAAAAAAACTCCACCACAAATTCACGTCTCGACGCCATCCATTGTACGCGCTACACAACCTTAGTCACGTGTTCGTCGTGACGTCACAATGAAATCAAAATGGCGTTCGATTATTTGCATTTCGTAACGAAATTAATTTAAATATAAAATAAAAATGAGATAAATTCGAACAAAATAAAAAAAATTTTTTTTTTTTTTTAAAAGATTTTTATTTACAGAAAAATTTTTTTAACGAGTGTTAAACTCGAATTAAAATTCCCAATTTATTACAATTTTATTTTAAATTATTTAAAACTGTACAATATATACAAAAAAATAAAGACGACGACGGGGAAAAACAAAAACAAACGAAAAAAAATGGTCACGTTATTTATTAACTTATTTTCTTTTTTTTTTTACTTTGAATTTATACATATATACAAACATACATACGCATAATAATAATAATAATAATAATATTAATAATAATAATAATAATAATAATAATAATGATGACGACACAATAATTATAATAATAATATCAAATTTTAAATAAAAGGATTCGTTCATTCATTCATTTATTTATTTATTTATGTATGTATGTATGTATATTAAATATATATATATATATATAAATTTTTAAAATTTATGTACAATAAAAAGAAAACAATTTTATCATTATCATTATTATTAATATTATTAAATTTTTTTTAATAAATTAAATTTATAATTTATTTATTTATTTAATTGTTTGTTATTTAAATTATTTAATTCATTAATTAATTTATGTAATTATTATTTTTATTAATTTATTAATTATTATTATTATTTTTATAAATTTATTTTAATGTGTTTTAATTGAGATAAAATAATGATGATGATGATAACGAATAAATGTGTCAAATATTTAACAAAAAAAAAAACAATTACATTATTATTATTATTATTATTATTATTATTATTATTATTACTGTTGTGTCATTCATTATCATCACCACCACCATCATTATCATTATTATTATTATTATTTACACTCATTTTTAACGGTTTTTTTTGGTGGTTTTATCCGAATCAAGGTGATGTAAAAATTTTCGATTACCTGTTTTTATCATTCATTCATTCATTCATTAAGAGAGAACAAAACAAGAGTTAAAACGTTTATAAGTAGTAGGGGTAATAGTAATGATAATAATAATGATAATTTTAAAAACATTTATCGTGTAACATGATGACGATAATGATGATAAAAGGTTAACATTTTTAAAAAATCAGATTGTCGAATAACACACACACACACACATACAATTTACTAAAAAAAAAAAAAATTTTATTAATAATAATAATAATAAAATATATCCAAAACATATTTAAATAATAAATAAATTATCACGTGACTTTTTTATAAAATTCTAATAAATAATAAAATACAATTCTATAAAATGTTTTTTTTTTTTTAACACGGTGATGAAACGATTAATTATTATTATTATTCGCGTTTCGTTTTTCTTCACACTATTATATTTTTATCATCATTATCATTATTATTATTATTATTATGAATAGAATTTTCCGTTAGGATAAGAGTAAAAAATTACAAAAATTAACGTACAAGAATTAATTTGGTGATATTCTTATAAAAACTGTATAATGAATTTTTTTCTTTTTTTTTCTTATCATAAAAGTTACAAAAAATTATCACAGGGTAGTAATAATAATAATAATAATAATAATAATAATAATAATAATAATAATAATAATTTATACTCCGATAAAAACAATTTTGTGTAATTAAAACAAAAAGTTCCAAAAGCAAAATGAAAAAGAGAGAAAAAATTTTCCAAATAAAAAATTTTAAAAAATGAAGTAAATGAAGACGTTCGTGTAAGACAGACAGACAGACAGACAAACAAACAAACAAACAAACAAACGAACAAACAAATGATTTTTTACAGATTTAAGTACTTGACAGAGAGAGCAAAAAAAAAAAAATATTTATACACGTATTTGTGACCGACTTAATTAAATAAATAATATTAATATATATGCATGTGCAAAAATTCCGGTTGTTATTATTATTATTATTATTATTACAATACGTCTATATGACGTAATAATACGTCATCAAATCTCCGAGAAAAAAAATAATAAAAACTCTGATTTAAAATTGTTTTTTTTTTTTTTTAATATACAAACGAGAAAAAAAAACAGAAAAAAATAATAAAAAAATTATTTCATTTATTTTTAAAAACGTTTTAATAACAACAATAATAATAATAATAATAATAATAATAATAACAGTGATGATGATGATCATAATAATAATGATAATAACGTGATTTTTTTTTGTTTGTTTGTTGGTTTGCTGTTTTTATTTAAACAAGTCATCAAATAATAATAATAATAAAATTTTTTTTTGGAAAAAATAAAATACTGGACAAATACCGATTCGTGTGATTACGATGATAATAATAATAATAATAATAATAATAGTAACAAACGGCATGTATGTGTGTGTGTGTGTGTGAGTACATTGATTCGTTTTATTAACATCATATTATGTAATCGTCATGTATATTATTTATTAATTAATTAATTACAATCGCCGCACGTCAATTTTATTTATTTTTTTGCTTTTACTTGAACGAAAAATTATTTTTAAAAAAAAATTAATAATAATAATAATAATAATAATAATAATAATAATAATAATAATAATAATAATAATAAGATAACAAATACGCATTTATTCATTTTTTGAAAAAAAAATTATTTATATATTTTTATTATTATTTTTGTTTTTACCAAAAAAAAATGAATTAATTAATTAATAATACATAAGTCAAATTTGAAGGGTTTAAATAATAATAATAATAATAATAATAAAAGAAATTTTTTTTTTCGCGAGGGTAGAAGGGAGGAAGGTGGAACAAAAAAAAAAATTTAAATTAAAACATAGCGGGAATAAATAATAACATTTACATTTTTTAAAAAAAATATTATCATTATTATTATTACTTTTTTCAACGGTCACGAATGTATTTATTAAATTAAATTATAACAAGTAATAAATTTCCTTTCTTTTTTTTTTTTTTTTAAATATTCGACACGGTTAATAAATAATAAATAATAATAATAATAATAATAATAATAATAATAATAAATATAAATTTTTGTAATACGTATTAAATTAACAAAAAAATTTCATTTTATTTTTATTTATTTATTTTTTATTTTTTTTCGGACTTTTCGTAAATTCAAATTTCATCTTTTACACCCCCACTCCTCACCTCCCCTTTATCCCCCGATTCCCTTTGTTAATCCCACCCCCACCCCGTAAACGTGATTTTGTATTTTTATTTTTATTTTTTTTGGTCTTTTACTCCCGGAATCTAATCGGAAATGCTAATTTTATTTTTTTTAAAAATCGAATCTCCCCTACCTTACAAACCCCCCCCCCGTCGGTCTTCTTACATTTCAAACAAACAAACAAACGAAAAAACCGCGAAAATAATTTTAAATTTTGTTAGAAAAACGTAAAAACCGCGACGGTATTCATACGCGTTTAAATTTAAAAAAAAAAAAAACCAATTCATATTAATTTTTACCCGAATAACCCCCCTAAACCCCCCTCCTTCTTTCAATCACTCACTCGATCAATCAATCAATCAATCAATCATTCATTCGTCATCGTTTCTTATTAAAATTTTAAAATCACGTAAATGTTATCGCGGGTGTAAAAAAAAAAAAAAATTTCATTTTTTCATTTTTCCAATTTCCAAATTTTTCCAATTTTGATTTAAAAAAAAAAAAAACAATAATAATAATAATGATAATAATAATAATAATAATAATAATAATATTAAAACATATAAACGTATAAATATAATTTACACTCTTCTCATAATCTCGTCAATATAAATACAATCAAATAATTTATGTAACGAATTTTTTTTTTTTCCCTTTTTTTTTTCTTTTTTTTTTTTTTTCTCTTCAGTTTTTTTACCAACAAAAAATTTACAATATATTATTATTATTATTATTATTATTATTATTATGACTACGTAATTATATTTTCCGACACACCTGTCACATGATACTTTCATTTACCGATCAACAGATGATATAATTAATAACATATTTCATATACATATTACATATTTATATAAATTATATATAAATATATATTACTACATATATACGTACATGCATGCATACATACACGCCGACGTACATACATA